GATGAAGTGTGATGCATGAGAGTTGTTGAAGGATGCATATCGGTAGACCCTGGGGGCGCCCCGGGGGCGTCCACCGGGGACAGGGTAGTGTAAATTCAGGGGCGGGCGCTAGCGTGTGTGTCGTGAGCGGGCGGGGGCGCCGATCGGCGTGACACCGTAGCGGGGTACGGTGGCCCTGGGATGGCGCAGGCACGCGAGCTTTTGGGGCTTCACCCATGAGGGGCTCTCGGGGTGTGGCATGCCGTGATGTCACGTGGCCGCACCCCGATGCCCAGTCCCTGGGTCGGCCTCACCCACACACGAAGGCGCATGCATACCAATACACACACACACACACACACACACACACAATCACGCACACAAATACACACACAATCACACACTCTTACTCACATCACATACATCACACACAATCACATCACATCACACACGCGTCCCCGCCGCAGCTACACCTACAAGAACTGGGAGGCGGTCCACCAGGGCCCAGAGGCCGCCGCCTCACTGCCGGGCCAGGTGGGGCAGGGGCTCGGCTGGGCAACGGCAGCGCGCCCGGAGCCCTGGGGGCGGCGGGCCCACGCGGCCAGCCTCAAAACCAGTGCCATTGAATTGTTGGTGTTGCGCCCTTGCTGCCGCGCCCTGTCGATTTCAGGGTCAACTATGCGCCACCGGGCCGCTTGGCAGCCCCACACCCTTCATGTGCTCTCGTCCTGGGTCCTTCACAGACAGGCGTGTGCACACGCACACGCACACGCTTGCACACACACACACACACACACACACACACACACACACACACACACACACACACACACGCACACACACACACACAGGTGGTGATGAAGAAGAAAGCAGCGCGGCCCTCGCTGCAGCAGCTGCAGAGCACGATGGAATCCATGAGCATAGAGCCGGGCCAGCAGCAGCACTGACAGCACCTCCAGCAGCAGTACCAGCAACAACAGCAGCAACAGCGGCAGCAGCAGCAGCAGCAGCAGCAGCAGCAGCGACAGCTGCGCCTGCCAAGGAGGAGAAAGGATAGGGAGCAGGAAGGACCAGAGGGTTGTCAGCGCGGGAGTTGGGTAATGTACCTCTGCTCATTCTAGTGCCGAGCAGGCAACTGTGTGTTTGTGTGTTTGAATCTGCCTTTGCCTCAATTCGTCTGGATTTTTTTTTATTTTGTGCAAAGTTGGTGTCCAAAAGATGTTTCAAGGCTTTGGTTTCCCATACGCTTCCTTGAGTGACATCTGCCCAACCAAAGGCGGCAGTGGCGCTTTCTTTGGCTGAGGTGCGATGGGACCCCCATCGCACTCCCCGTCACGCTTTCTTGACTTTGCAGTTGCGCCTTGCTTGCACACCCAATCGCACCCCCTTGCTTGAAGGTCTCACAAACCACCAGGATCCGCCCGCCGCTCGCCTGCGGACCAGCCACCGCCGTCGTACGCGCCGGCCGCCGCCAATGCCTGCTGCAGCAATCACGCATGCACGCTGCATGCCCCCGCGGCGGGCATCGGCACGCACCCAATCCGTCATCCATTGGCATTCCCTGAACAGTAACCCGCCGTGCCACACAAGCCGCCGAGGGCGCGCGCATGGCTGGCTCTAGGCGCTGCCCCTGTGGCGCGGATGCGAGGAGGGGCCGCCGTGCCGCCGCCGGGCGCCCGCGCCTTGTGCCTCGCCCCCCCATGCGCCCGGCGCGCAGCCAGCCTGCCCGTGCGTCCGCCGCTTCTGGTCTTGCCTTGCTGCTCCTTGCTCCTCCATCAGAACGACGGCTTCAGCAATCTCCTAGCAGCGTGGCTTGTGGTGCGCCGCTGCCTAGCGCCGCCGTCCCCGCAGTGGTCACGGGGACACGGCCGGGGTCAGCTGGGACGGGGGAAGCCGACGACACGAGTTTGGTGGTGAGGGTGCTTGACATAGGGTCGCTCGGAGTGGGCCTGAGACAGGGAGGCCAGGGGACGGGGAGCTGGGGCCTGCGGACTGGGCAGGGGGGGCTGCTTGGGGCGCCCGAGCGGGCGAGGGTGATTCTTGCCCCGAGGTTTGGTCTGACGAATCGGGTGTGGCGCGTGCGTGTCCCTACTCTGATAAGTCAAGCTCACCGGCTGCAGTATCGTACAGAATTGGCGGCAGCGGTCACCAGTTACTGTCACTGAGTGACTGCAAATTACCCCTTGAGGGCCTGGGCCGTACACGTCACACTCCAGGACGATCAACAACTGGAGACGTGACAAGCTTAATGCGACAAATTGTGGAGCAAACGATAATTCGATCGTGATCTTGCTGCAGCAAAGCTGATGCGCGATGGGCTGGTGGCCTTTCGGCAGAAATACACCGCAGGTTGTTGGTGAGGAACAAGAATTACCAACGCAGCATCAGACAAGCAGTTCAGCGGGCGCGGCGCCACCGGAGAACCATCAGCAGCACGCGGTGCCTGTGCCACCCCCGCCGACCGCGCCGCAGCAGCCGAGCCAGCCCCAGCCCCAGCAACGGCCACCGCCCCTGCCACAGCGACAGCAGCCACCCGACGCCGCGTGCGAGGGCGGCGACTGCCTGATTTCTCTTGTCTTCCAGAAGAACTACTGCAAGCCTGAGTTTGCGGCGTTTGACTCGTGCTTTGACGCAGTGGAGGGCGGATCAAGGAAGGAGGAGGAGTGCATGCCTCTGGTAAGCTGGAACGGTCGCTAAGGGATTTTGGGACACCCAATGATCTGCGCTCCCCAGCGCACATCGCACGAGCCCCCATCACCTCTGCATACACATACACCATTCACTCAAGAGGCGGCGGTTTCCAAACGCCGTTTGAGCACTGCTCTGCCAGGGGCAGGGACCGCTCTGGTTGGGTCAGGGGCTGACCGTCCCCGAGCGGCGCACGCCGCCCCCTCAGCTTCCAGAACGGCATGAGGACCCCGCGCGCACGGCGAGCGCACAATATTTCACACAAAATTCAAGTCTGCCTCGCCCCTCTCCCGCGACGCGTACGGCCAGTTTGACTCGTTCAGGGCGTGCATGCAGAAGCGACTCAAGGTGGACGGGCTCATCAAAGAGGCCATGGGCTGACGCCTGGGGCCGGTGCTGCTGCCCACTGCAGTTGCAGCACCGATAGGTTGTTTTCGGGCGCTGACGACGCAATGACATCACCTGGTGTCCAGAGCGGCCCAGCAGAGCTTAGTCTATCTGCACCTGGACTACTTTTTTCTAGTTGGGGGGTGCTGAAAAGGACGCACCCGTGATCCTGTAGGTCCCGTCTTGGAAGCTACTGAACAGGCAGCTGCCCCCGCATGCATGTGGTAACATTGATCGCCGAGCGTTTGTGTTGCAAGCCAGCAAAACGTGGTTGCCTGCACAAACTGCGGCACCTCAACCCGCCTAAAGAGCAACAGTGGTTGGCTGCCCAGTCTGCTTTTCAGGGCAGCCAAACCCAAGATCTAATGACCTATCTGACAAAGCAACAGCATTTCATGTGAACCCCCATACAGGCCGCAGATGTGCACCAGAGCGCAGGCTGCATGCAGAGCGCGGCAAGGGCGAGCAGTCACGGTCAAACGGCTGGGAAGGCTACAGGGCTATCAAGTCCGGTTCGAAAGGCAGGCTCTCTGCCTCTGCTTTGCAACAGTAGTGTGGCAAAACCACTAATCTCTTCAGATGCCAGACTCGATGCAGCGGCCTCCCGCCGCGTCAACAGCCGCCACCCCCTCCCAACATCACGTGCCGCCGCCAACCACGCCGGTGAAGGCAATGCCCCCCAACTGCAGCGCGACCGACATCCATCAGGCTCCCCAGAGCGGGCGGCGCGGCCCGCGCCAGGTCAGCGGCTGCAAAATGAGCGTCAGCATGGCGCGCGGCAGGGAAGCTTCGCGCCTCGCTCAGCCCATGTTGTGGTGTGACACCGCGTCGCGGCGCGCGGCCATGCCGTACCAAGGGCTGCCGCAGCGGTCAGCCAGCCGGTAGAAGGCTGGTTTTGGGGGGGGATGGGGGGCGGGGGCGTGGAGTGTCGCGCTCAGCAGACAGAGCCAGGGAACTCGAGGTGGCAAGCAAGGCGATTTGCTGCGCTACTACCAGCCGGAGCACCGCCTGTGCCGCGCCCTCGAGGAAACATACAGAAAACCAAGAAACAAAGCGGCACGCCCCGGCCCCGACTCCTGCACAGCAGTCAGGCCGGCCCCGACCGCCCCCCAACCCC